TTAAATTAGATTCTCATTTCAACAACATAAAATTTTTATTTCATACCGTCTAATGCAAAATTTTTATAATTTCAAAAAATAATCATACCAAAATTTATCATTTTAAAATATATAAAATCCTAATTAAATATTTTTTTTATTTGCCCAAGATCTATTGGCAACTAGTCATTCACTCATGCATTGCACGGATAATAATATAAAATTTGATTAAAATTAATAAATATTTTATTATTAATCACTTATAATAAAATTATGCGACTAAAATGAAATAATTTAATAGCTAAAATTATAAAAATTTAAATTTGAAATTTAAAGTATGGATAATACTATTTTTTACTTTGGATCAGTATAATATAATTCGTGAAAGATGTGTTATTGTTGCCGTTAAAATTTCTATTTATGATGTAAAAGTAGAATTTTAGATAATTTATAAATATTAAAAACATGTCAAAATTGAACTTGAACTAACGTGTATAGTAAATATATTTTCTATACCCAAAATGCTTCTTGCAAGCTTAATACAATTTTAAAAAAAATTCTCTTATGTATAACTTGACATGTTATCTAAAAAGCAAATAGCATTTGAATTTTCTCAACTCAAATAGCTTTTAATACGCAGTAGAAAGTAAATAATTTGTGGCAAAATTTTAATGTAAAAAAAATCAGTTAAAATATAAAAATAGAAATAATGTCGATTCAACATTAATAATACTCTAATATTATGCAAAGTTAGCTTCTATGCTTCAGAATTTATAGATTTATATTCACAGAAAAATCTATACAAATTTTATAAGAGTAAAAAAATGAAAAGAACTAATATTTATTTATATTTATAGATATTAATATTTATAAGAGTAAAAAAATGAATATTTATATTCTGAATTTCTTGGACATGTTAAATTTTTATTCATTATAACAATCTATGACTATGAATTTATTTATCACTTTCATTGACCTGTCTCATGGTTCATTATATCTAATCAATTTAATATTAAAATTAAAATTTGTTACATATATCAACTATTTGAATTCTTATGAATATTATGAATTTCTTGAATATAACTAATTTTTTAGTTCAGTAAAAAGACTGATATAGTCGATGCAAAATGCTTTCTTTACAATGACAGTCTTGGGTTTGAGCATTAATTATAAAATTAAATGAATCTTTGACTGAATGTTACTTTGTCTATATTAGTTTGAGCAACGCTCTGCTAATTCTTAATAATCATTCCTATCTGTAAGATTAATGAATGCAAATCTAACTTGATTCAGTCACATCCATAGTTGATGACACTTAATTTATTGCCTAAGTTATCTCGAAAAAGACTTCAAGCTGATATATAATTTATCGAGTTTTTTCACTTAGCATCTTTGAGATAGGATGGGTTTATTGAGGAGGACTGATGACCTGGGTTTAAATGCTTGGCTATATTAATTTTTTTTTGGATTTTAATAATAAAAGAAATTTTTGCTCATAAAAAAAATGAAAATATTGTATTTATTAACAAGAGCATGATCTGAAACATTCTCATTTGAGATAAATATTTGGCTTTTGGTTGTAGGAATGGAATCATTATGGTGCTGACTGATCATGATATAAATGGGGTAAACAATTAAATATACTCTAAACTTTACGTCTTTTAATAGTTACACCCTAAATTCAATTTAATCCCCTAGACACTTCAATTGTAATTTTTTATCATAATTATTCCCTAATTTGAAATTAGTCAAATCAATGAATAAAATATATTAAATATAGATTCCATGACTCATACTTGAGTTAACTTAAATCAAAGAATAAGTTGGCTAAATTATAAATACCTTAAATTTTGGCGTTTATAATAATTGCACCCCAAAACGACTTTAATTTTTAGATACTCCAATTTTAACTTTTTATCATAACTGCACCTCAAATTCAAATTATGGCAAATACGCTGTCATAATTGCACCTTGAATTCAAATTAGAAGTCACATTTAATTACAATTCCACTCTAAATTCAAAATTTATCTTATTTTAATAGGACGACCGTAGATTACTAGAGAAGAAATAATTAAAAGGAGATAAGTTCATAATAAAGCAAAATAGTCCGCAATTGGTTCAGAATAAAGCAAAATACTCGCAGTTTCTATTTTTTATTTAATAAACTTGTCATAATTTGTATTTGGATGTTTGGAGGTTTAAGATTGTTTTTGTAGTACACCATATTTACTTGAGTAATCTAGGATTTAAATATCAAAATGAGATGAAATTTTGAATTTAGAATTTAATTATGGTAGTATATTTGTCATAATTTGCTTTTTCAGAATTCATCTCTTATAGATTACTTTTTTTTCTGGTAATTTAGGGTTTGCTCTATTAAAATAAGATAAAATTTGAATTTAAAGTGAAATTGTAATTAAATGTGATTTCTAATTTTGAATTCAAGGCGCAATTATGACAGTATATTTTCATAATTTGAATTCGAGGTGCAATTGTAATAAAAAGTTAAAATTGGAGTATCTAAGAATTAAAGTCATTTTGAGGTGCAATTGTCACAAACACCAAAGTTTAGGGTATTTATAATTTATCCAACTTACTCGTTAGATTAAGTTAACTCAAGTATAAGCTACGAGACCCACATTTAATATATTTTATTCATTGATTTTGACCAATATCAATTAGAGTACTATTGTGACAAAAAGTTACAATTGGAGGGCGAGAAGCATTTAGGGTGTAATTATTAAAAGAAGCAAAGTTTTGGGTATATTTAATGATTTACACAATATAATTGCAGGAAAACTGTTAATTGGAATTGAATTGCAAAATGGATAAAATTACAAAAACTCATAATTTGGGGTTCTGATTTTTTGGATCATACAAAAAACATACAATCTGTCACATGGGTTCATACTATATATCCTGATTTTTTGGATCCTGTATTATCCCAGCATATTATTATTTTTTTTTTTTCATCTTTGGTTGATTAATTTAGATTTTTTTTTTTATTTCCTTCTGCCGCAAACAACAACATTGCTTGTTTAACCTATTCTCAAAAAAAAAAAAGACCTTGCTGGTTTAACCACTACCCAGGAGAAAAAGAGCATGTGAGCAGTGACGGAGCAAGAATTTTTTTATAGGGGATGAAAATATTTTTTTTCTTCATAAGGTGAATAAAAAATAAATTTATTTAAAAAAGTAACTAAAAATATAATTACTTTTTTCTTCATAAGGTGAATAAAAAATAAATTTATTTAAAAAAGTAACTAAAAATATAATTACTTAAACAAATATATTCGATGTGGTCAAAATTTTTTTAATGAAAATAGTATAGATAACAACAAAATAATAGAAATTTTTTTAGCATACATAATGATTTCAATATAAAAGAAATAATATCCTCAAATTTACACATTAGAAATTACAATGAAAATAAATATTTGTATTTAAAATTTTAAATATATTTTATTGTAATTTTAAATGTAATTTAAAATTTAATCAATATCAATTATATTAAATTTTCTAAAAATGATTAAAATTAGAATCATGGACTGAAATATTAAAATCTATCTTTTTGAATAATAAAATATCATATGTGGTTTATCATGAAATTTATAATCATAAGTTTGTTTTAAGTTGTTAATATTGTAATTAAATACAATAATAAGCAATTGGAAATATAAATTTAATAATACTATTATATATTTTAATATTTATGTGAATTTTTTATGTGATTCATATAATGGAATCAAATTCAAAATTCAAAAGCTTAAATTTAAAAAAGAATTAAAAATTAAAATTAAAAAATGGAAAAAAATTTTTTAATTTTAAATCATCAAGATAGAATACAAAACATAATTTATAAAATTGTGAAACTTAGATCTTTATAATAATAATTTAAAGTTAATTGAATTTATATAAAAATTAACTAAAACTTTTCTTATATATAAAAACTAATTAAAAATAACTAGCTAAAACTATATAAATAACTAAACTAAAAAATAAAATTAAAAAAAAAAAACCAAAAAACTGCAGCCTCTGGCTTTTTGATCTCAGGACTTCAAACGTGATGATGTGACTGAAGGCGCCCTAGAAAGTTTTATCGAAGTCAGGGGGGCGGTGGCCCACAGGCCCCCGTGGCTCCGGCAGTGTCGTGTGAGGATCCGATTGAGGCATGGCTTTAATGATTAACTGAAGGTTGAAAACGAAGTTACATGGCACTTCCCGACAAAATCCGAAAGAGCATCCTGTTGTTACTTGTACGAACAATATTAGCATTAATAAAAATTCCTCAGCTGTTTGTTAAAATGTTAGTTGACTTGTTCAGTATTCTGCATGTGAATTGTCCAAGTCAAATTTTCTCGATTCCCTTAATTATCTATAAATTGCTTCATCGAACGCGGTTATGTTAAAAATTTTGAACATTTTCAGTTCCCATTCGTCCAGTTATTCCTTTTCTTGTACTCTCCTATGGGTTCTAACCTCAGCACCGGTGGAGCTGCGGGCTATTCTACCGTGGATCCTGGAGCTGAGACTATGACTGCACCGTCTTCTTTTTCTTCTGTAAGTGTGGAAACTATGACTGCACATTCTGCAACTCCGGCGGCCATAACCTCTGATTCTGCTACCGTGAAAACTACACATAAAGCTCATGTGACTGCTCCGGATGCTGCAAAAGTTGCTGTTGCTTCCAGTTCTTGGGAATATGACGTTTTCTTGAGTTTCAGAGGTGAAGTCAGGCACGAGTTTCTTAGCAATTTGTATAACGCTTTGACTGAAAAAGGAATTAGAACCTACAAAGAATAACGCTTTGACTGAAAAAGGGATTAGAACCTACAAAGATGATAGGAGTCTTGACAAAGGGAAAATAATCACTCCCGCACTCCTTAAAGCGATTCAGGAGTCAAGATTTTGTGTCGTAGTTCTTTCTAAGAATTATGGTTCTTCCTCTTTTTGCTTGGATGAACTCGTGAAGATCACTGAACGTATCCCAGATTCAGAGACAGATGCACAGAAATATACAATGAAATGTACAGTTTTGCCAATATTCTACAATGTGGATCCATCTGATGTGCGCAAGCAGACTGGTGAGTTTGGAAAAAAATTTGCCAAGTCAAAATCTAAATATGCTGAGAAGGTGGAGGGTTGGAAATTAGCTCTTATAAAAGCAGGCAACAAATCTGGATGGGATGCGAGAGATAGGTAATCCTTTTCTTAGTACTTTTTTCATGTTCATTTTGTAGTTGGACTCTGAACACTCTGCTTATAATCTTCTTCATTTCTGAGCACCTTAAATTGCATTTTGTCAGTCGTTTATCTTTCAATCAGTCTTTTTATTTATGTTTTTGTTTGACCTTTTCATTCCATCCGTTTCCAATTCTGCAGGGATATTCCTACTCTTATTGATGAAATTGCAATCTATATCTTGAAAAAACTGAGTCGTACGTTCCCCAAAAGAGCTAAAGGCCTAGTTGGAATGGATTCCAGAATAGAGGAAATGAAATCAAAATTACATCTGGGGTTGGATGATGTTCGCATAGTTGGAATATGGGGAATGGGAGGAATTGGTAAAACAACCATAGCTAAAGCTGTTTATGACAGTATATATTGCCAATTCAAAAATTATTGCTTTCTTGAAAGAGTTGGAAAAGTAAGTGGCAGAAACATTCGGTCTTCAACATTTACAGGAACAGCTTCTTTCCAAACTGTTAAAGGAAGATATCCAGACAATAAGAAACCTGGGTGGAAATTTTGATGCAATAAGGGAAAGGTTACAGTATATGCGTGTCCTTATTGTTCTTGATGGTGTGGATAATGGCGAAGAGATGGAAGCCTTAGCAGCGGACCATGACTGGTTTGGTCCTGGTAGTAGGATTATTATAACAACTACAGATCGCAACTTACTACTTGCACATGGAGTGGATGAAATTTATGAGCCTAAAGGTCTAAACCATAATGAATCACATTCTTTGTTCACTCAATATGCCGTCAAGAATAGCTATCCTGTAGATAAATTCATTAAATTCATGGAGCTCTCACGCCTTATGGTGAAGTATGCTGAAGGTGTTCCTTTAGCTCTGAAGGTTCTTGGTTCCTTTTTAGCTCCCAAGAATGAAACTGAATGGCAAAGTGAATTGCTTAAACTTGAAAAATATCCGAATATAAAGATCCAACAAGTGCTGAAGATCAGTTATGATGGGCTTGATGATCCGCAAAAATATACATTTCTTGATATTGCATGTTTTTTTAACGGGGAGGATAAATCTTATGTGGTGAAAGTATTAGAAGGCTGTGGATTCCATGCAGATGGTAGTCTGAAGGCTCTCGTTGATAAATGTCTGATTACCATTTTAGATAATAAGATATGGATGAATGGTTTACTGCAAAAAATGGCTCTCGTTGATAAATGTCTGATTACCATTTTAGATAATAAGATATGGATGAATGGTTTACTGCAAAAAATGGGGCGGGATATTGTTCGTCAAGAGTCTCCAACAAAGCCCGGTGAACGCAGCAGATTGTGGGATCACGGAGATGTGTACCGAGTGTTGGAAGAAAATGCGGTGAGAAATCATTCCCATGAAAGTTAATTCTTTTACTTGCAACTTGCAATTTTACATGCTTAAATGATTTTCTAAGACTATCTCTTCCCTATATATGTTGCAGGCGACAGACAATATTGAGGGTATGATCCAGGCGACAGACAATATTGAGGGTATGATCCTGGATTTGTCTAAAGTAGACAATTTAGTTATTGATACCGAAGTCTTCTGGAGGATGAAGCGCGTTGACCATTCTGGGGGTTTTGAATACCTAACCCAAAATTCAAGAACATATGCTATAAGGCCACCCAAAAAGTCTCGTGCAATTCTTTATGGAGATTTTTCAAAATTGTCTAATGACTTGCGGTGCTTGTACTGGCATGGATGCCCCCAAAATTTGCCATCAAAATTTTATCCAGTGAACCTTGTTGAACTCAATATGTCATACAGCAGCATAACAAAGCTTCCAACAGAAAGGAAGGTATTGTTGTCAGGTATTTTCATTTTGGTCTATATGATGTGAGATTCACGGCCAAGTAGTTTGATTTTCTTTTTTATTTGACAGTGTTTCGACAATTTGAGGTTCATCAAACTCAGTCATTTGAGGTTCATCAAACTCAGTCACTGTCAGAAACTCACTATGACACCAGATTTTTATGGGGTCCAAAAGCTTGAGATACTTATTCTCGAAGGGTGCAAAAGTTTAATACAGGTTCATCCGTCTCTGGGTTCTCTCAAAAGCCTCAGATTATTAAATCTGAAAGACTGCTCACTTCTTCAGTCCTTTCCAAGTGAACTTCGCACAATATCTCTGGAGATTCTCATACTCTCTGGATGCTCACTGCTTAATAAATTTCCTGAGATTAAGGATAATATGGAAATCTTGTCAGAGCTTTTTCTAGATGACACTGCTATACAAGCACTACCTTCATCTATTGAAAAGCTTACGGGTCTTGTTCTTCTGAGTGCCAAGAATTGTAAATATCTTTGGGATCTTCCAACAAGCATTGGACATTTAAAGCATCTGAAGAGTACTTATTTTTCAGGATGCCCCAATCATTACACATTGCTAAAGGAGCTACAATGCCTGGAGAACTTGGAAGAACTTTATCTAGATAAAGTGACAATAAAAAATCCACCACTCCCTATCTGCTCTTTTACGAAGCTTAAAGTACTTTCATTTCGTGAATGTGAGAATTTTCCATTTGTAAACACAGAACAGAGTCTGCCAGAAGAAAATAGAGAGAATTTGTCACCATATTTTTATGGCAGTTTATCCTGTTTAACAAGTCTTGATCTCAGCTACTGCAATTTGACAGAAGTATCAATCCCTAAAGAATTTGGCCTGTTAGAGTCTTTGAAGGAATTAAATCTGAGTGGAAACTACTTTTACACATTACCCAACCTGAGTGGATAACTACTTTTTACACAGTTACACCTCTCAAACTTTTTAGCCAAACTTAAGAAATCTACAAGTTATTTGTTTGCAGAATGTATCAAACTTGTCCCTCAGTGCCATCTCTTCCGCCCAAGACAACATTGTGTAAGAAGCACAAAATTGCCCAGAAACTAGTCAATGGTGCACGCAAGAAGGTAAGGATCGGCAAGAACTATTTCAATTTTATGAATTGTTCCAACTTGGGTTATGTTTATGGGGAAAATGTGAAGGCTTCTGCAATAAAGGTACGCTTGAGCCTGGCTGAAACATTCTTGAGCTGCTGAAACATCATGTTCGCAAGGTCTGTTACTCTATTTGTTTCCCTTGTTCATGTTCTTGATTGATTTTCATAGAACGTTCTCTTTCTTTCTCACAAATAAATTTTCTTGTTTTGTATGATGCAGGTATCATTCACTGAATTTACTGTTATTATTCCTGGAGGTGGGATTCCAGTGTGGTCTGAGCACGAGCAGAGTCACCCTTCAAAGAGTATCAATCTGCCTGGAGATTGGTACAAGGAAAGTTTGAGGGGTTTAGCTTTTTGGGCTGTTTTTGAAGTCGATGATTATGACTCTGATAATGATACAGCCATGGACATGCAATGCGGATTTGAACTTTATTTTGTGCATAACAACTACAAGGTGATTCCTGATACTGGATTTTTTATAAATAGAAGTAGCAAGGTTGAGTCAGATCATTTGTGGTTGCATTATATACCGTCGTGTTCATTCAGTACGACAAGGAAGATGGGTGGTTGAGTCAGATCATTTGTGGTTGCATTATATACCGTCATGTTCATTCACTACGACAAGGAAGATGGGTAGTTGGACGCAGCTAAAGGCTGTTCTGCACACTCGTGGCAAAGGCTTGCGGGTGAAAAAATGTGGCCTATTCCCAATGTGCTGTTTGTCCAATGGGAAAGTCGTTATTTAGAGGGCGTTTGTTTTAACTTTTTGATGCAGCGGATAGCTAATTGGGCCCAACAGCTAGATTGAAAATATTTGGATAGGATTCTAATCAGGAACTAATAGCTGGTAGAACTCCTAATACACTGCTGATCCCATCAGTTGGACTTACAGAGCTTTTTACGAACTGTTATTAGGATAGACTAAAATATCATCATATCGCTAATAAGGCAACATATCTTATCGTGATATATTTAGCAATAGAGATGACACCTAGCCAGAAGAAATTCAACCAGAAATTGAAGCAGTTCACTCGAGTGTCTTATGTGATCGCTCATAGCTTAATGTGAAAAAAATAATAATTAGATAAGTTTTATTAATATGTTTATTAATATTAAGATACATAATTTTATCAATATGCTCGTAGATTTTGTTAATTAAGATATTTTGTTTAATTAATTTTTATTTTTCTTATTTTTTAATTCATTAGAAATAGACTAGAAATTCAACATGAATTTGCTTAACACGCAACACTGTTAGGGTTAATATAAACATAATTTGTTTAATAATTGTGTTAAATTTCTCAATACAAACACAACATGAAAATTAAGCAGGTGATATGAATACTATACATGTAATTCACCTAATATCATAAGCAGGTTAAGTGAATTGTATTAACCCGTATATGACCCGTATAACCCGCCTAATATTATAAACAAGTTGCGTAGGTCGTATTAGCCTGTATATGACTCACTTAACCTGCTCATAATATTTTTAAGTTTTAACATTTTTAACTCAAATCATATTTAAAAATAAATTTTATTCCCAGATTCGTAACTAAAGTAACAATAAATTAATATAACAATAAATTTTAAATAGGATTTTAGTTGTGTATTTATATTTGACATTAAAATTTTCTCTTTACCCTAAAGTAAACGGATCACTCGCCTAACCCATATGTCAACCCGTGAAGCGATACGTTTATATTCGTGTCATAAATGGGTCACCATTTATGACACGAACTCGTTTAACCTCAACCCTCACTCATTTATTTCACATGTTAGACAAATTGTATTCGCATATTATAACCCATTTTGACACCTCGAAGAATTCCTCGTACTTTTTTTTTACTTGAGATTCTTGATCGATAAAATTAAATATCTATATTGGATATAATTATAATAAATTAAGTACTCCTTAGGTCGTACAATGTTCTGGTTTGACTTTCACGGTATTAAAAATGCATTTGAGACAATAGTTTTTGAAATAGGAATAAAATAAAAAATTTAAAAATTATCTTCTTCTAAAAAAGAATATAGAATATTAATTTAGAATAAATGAGAAAAGAAATCAGGATAGAAAATATAAGACAGAAGAAGTATTATTTAATCTTACTTTATGTATTCATCAGGTTATTTCAATTAGGGTTTTCTTTCTTTATCAAATAAGTTTTATGACTGCTGATAAGTACTTTAGGAATGACATTATTGAATATACAAACTGATTTGAAGGTATGTGCTTAAAATTTGGTCCAAAAATATTCATAATTGTGACAATTATATGGTAGTTGAAATCAAATCTAGATAATAAGAAAAGAAGAAGAAGAACAAAAATGAAAATAGAATTTAAATCGAGATAATAATAAGAAGAAGAAGAACAGAAACAAAACACAGAAACAGCAATGGAATCAAATCCGGTGAAGCTATCAACAACAACTCTTATGCCCATCCTGACGCCGGAGGCAGATTTCATGCCCGCCATAAAGAAGAAGAAGAAAAAAAAAATGCAAAAGAAAAAAAAAAAAACATAATGTGCCATAGGTTAAAAGGATAAAGGAGAAAAAAAAAATACCTCTCTAAATTATAATCATATTTATATAATATTTTAAAACTAACACATCTCCCTAAATTAATTATCTGTAGCACAACTACCTCCCTCTGTCCAAAATTAGTCTACCTCATAAATTAAGGTCAAAGAAAACAAACAAAAAGACAATTCTACCCTTATAGAATTAGCTAATTGGACCGTTTCAACCGAAACCATAAAAAATTACTAACCCAAACTAAAAACCTTCTAGAATTAGCTAATTGAAACAAAACCACAAAAAAGACTTTCCTTTTCTCTTGGGTAACGTGGTATGAGATCGCAAGCTTTGGTCCAGTGTCTCCTCAGCCGCCTCTTAGTTTCCGGCGAGCAACCAATCAAGGTTGGCCGGAGAATCACGTTATCAGCGAAAATGTCTCTTTTCCATCCCGTTAGCTCAACTCTTGGACCTATGGCCTGCTTCGTTCGACAAGAGAGGAGGAGGGAGCGGTCGAAGAGTCTAACCGGTCGGTCCGTGGTCTCGCCAGAAAATTGAAATAAAATATTGAAGGAGACTGAGGTGGAGCCACTCCATTCGGAAAACGAAGGCAGCTCACACCCTGTCATTGCTCCAATCGGAAAAGAAATGGAGAGAGAGAACGGCGGTGAGGCAAAGGGAGGAGGTCGCTGCTAGCCGTACATGAGCCGGTGATAGGAAAAGGAAAAAAAAATAATGAAATAGCAATAATGGCATCTCTACCATGAGAAAGGGAAAGGAAATTAGCCTATGCTTAAATTCATTTATTTGTTCGTAATTTCATTTTTGAAAAAAAAAAATAAATGAAAAGCAATAGAAATGGCATCTTACCATGGAGAAAGGAAAGGAAATTAGCCTATGTGCATTAAATTCATTTATTTGAATGAAATAGCAATAATGGCATCTCTACCATGAGAAAGGGAAAGGAAATTAGCCTATGCTTAAATTCATTTATTTGTTCGTAATTTCATTTTTGAAGGCCTTGCTCTCACATAGATTGCTCCATGCTTAATTTATGGTTCAGATTTGTGAAAATGAGAGAGTTCAGAAAGTGCAGATCACGGCATTAAAGAGAGAGATGACCGTTTTCTGTTTCTGTGAAGGATTCAAGGAAAGAGATGGAGGAATAGAAGTAATTAATTGTAAAGAAAATTTTGTATATTATAAAGGTTAGTATGGTCATTTTATTTGCCATTTGACGAAAATTTGAGTAATTTTAGATGTAAGGATGCGTTTGTGCATTTTTTAATATATTGGACCTATTTGGTATTATAACAAAATAGAAACACGTGTACAGGCAATGATCTTACCTTAATGCAATTTAGTTGCTTTTAGGCCGCGGCGGAGGTCCACTATACCTAGTGTAGGCGTGGGCTCACCCTAGAATAAAAGAAAAAAAATTGACCGTGTTATTTATTTTTGTTCTCTTTCATTCTCTGATTTTATGATTAAAACTCAACAACATAAAATTTTTATTTCATACCGTCTAATGCGAAATTTTTATAATTTCAAAAAATAATCATAACAAAATTTATCATTTTAAAATATATAAAATCCCAATTAAATATTTCTTTTAGCTAGCTATTTAATTTTTATATTTATGTTTCTGATTTCCAGCAAATGTCAGACCATATTCATCTTTTTCTTCATAATTTTTCTTTTGTCTACTTAAACTTCGTCTTCTATCTCTCTGTTAATTTTTTTTTTTAATTAATTGGTCTCTTTCTTTTTTAATTTACACCTTAAGCATATCAATTAACTTTTTTTTTTTTATTGTATAAATGATTATCTTCCAATTAGCTATTTTATAGATTGTTTAATAATAGAAAATAGAAATTTAAGAAAAATTATCCATCCATATATTTGGAACTTGAGTAATAATTTTTTTTTTTCTTGCTGTTCAAATAAAATTTATTGTATTGAAATTGGGTTAATTTTACGGGTGTATGGCCTACTCATGGACCAAACTAATAAGAATAATATTTTTTATTAAAACAAAGGTATTTCTGACCACACACTTGAAAAAAGAGATAAAATTGAAATATTTTTTAAAAAATCCTTACTATTTGGTCCATAAGCATAGCTATGGACCCGATCTAGGCAAAAGTAATTTCCATTGAAGCATAAAATTTTATGTAAATGCTGACTTGGCATCTTTTGATTTCAGAATTCCTCTTTTTCGTTTTTTTCAAATTTTCTAGACTTTTAATTCATTTTTAACAAAAAAAAAAAACTATAGGTATTTGTCAACTAAAAATAATATTATTTCCATTATTATCACTAATAATTTATTTAAAAAAATCAAATTCTAAATCTCTTTTAACTAGTTTAATTATCTTCTAACAATCTCATCTAAAAATCTAAAAATATTTTCTATTTTTTAAAAATTTGTAAATTGTAGCTAAATATTTATATAATTCTATGGTTCTCTATCTTTTGATTCAACGATTGTTTTTTACTTTTTTTTTTTTAGTTTCTTTGTTTATCTTTTTTTTTTAATAATTCATATTTCTTTATATTTATATTAAATTTTGCTATTTTTGTTTTTCAGATTATGAACAACAAAATAATTTTTTCTTCGTCAAAGATAACATTAGCTCTTCCATATATTTTTCCTTTTTTTTAAATTTTATTTGGAATATATATATTTAACTTTTTTTTTACTATATAATTTTTTTCCTTCTCTTCCATTTCTTTTATAATTCTCTCTTGGTTCATTTGTCTTTTTATTTGATTTTTCATTAATATCATTGTTAAATGAAGAAGATTGGAAAAAACACGAAGCTTAGATCCGAGCAAGTATCGTTTTTGTATTGCTCTTGCATGTATTTTTTTTTATATTTTTATTGTTCATTTTTTAATTTTATTTGGACTATAAAGATATTCATATCTTAAATCAATTTTTCATTATTTTTTTTTTCTTATCCCGATCTATCACAATTACTCTAACATCTTAAATCAATTTTTCATTATTTTTTTTTTCTTATCCCGATCTATCACAATTACTCTAACACTCTCTATTTATTAATTGATGTCAGATAACATTTTTATTAGGATCGAGTTATTGGGATATAAAATAGTGATGACTCTCCATCCGTAACTTTTACTATGACAGCTTCAATAAGAAATCTCAGATTTTTCAACTATTCTAATTGCAATTTGAGGAAAAATGCTTCAAAATATGGTAAGGTTACGCACTAAGGAATAGATATATGAACAATATAATAAAAATTAATTGTAAGTTTAGATTTAATTTAACTGATTTTTTATCCTCCTTAATTTAGTGAATAGTTAATTTTGTTTATCTAACTTTATCTTCTGAGATTCTGTATTCTTTATTTATATTTTTAATTTAACATAGAATTATCCACATTAAATTATTTAAATTTTTTTTATCTATCTATTATTTTGTTGTATATTATCTACATTGAATTATTTGAATTTTAGAACTTTATATTTTATAAAGAATTATCTAGGATAAAAAAAAATATTGTTTGTATAATAAACTCTAACTAAAACTTTGCTAGACTAATTGAAATTTATAATTATTTATTGAAAATTTATAAATTATTTTAAATGAAATTAAACGATATATAATTTCTATATAGCATAAAATTTTTAATAAACAATCACATAGGAGAATGATGAATCTTATAATATATACTAATATATACTAAATATAATTTATATATTAAAAATATAAATTATTTATAAATTATAAATTATAAACCGGCAAAATAACGGTGCTCATTTCATTTGAGAATAAATTTGTGTATCTCTAAGCGTGGAAAAGCATCTTACCGAGAAACAAAAATCAGAGGCACCGGCTCTAGAGCCAGAGGAGCCGAAAAAGGCATTACCGGTTCTTGCTGGAGAGGAGATTGCTGCTTTTAAAGCTGAGAAATCAAAAACCCAGTTTTGGCGATTTTACTCGTTTTTACTATCCAACCCGATTTTTATCCTTTTCCGCACGTCAGGCCGGGTATCCATATCAAATCTTTGAAGAAATGCGTCTGGCCCGGTTTCCAATGCATCCAAATCAAATCCGGTTTCCAATGTATTCAAATCAAATCTTGGAACGAATCTGTTACGATAAAGTCCAAAACGTCTTTTATGATTAAGTTCGTAGTTGCGTGATCTTGGAAGAAATCTGTTACGATAAAGTCTCAACCATCTTTTACGATTAAGTTCGTAGTTGCGTGATCTTCGAAGAAATTGTCTACGATGAAGTCCAGAATTTCTTTGATGATTAAGTTCGTCCTTCTGTGATCTTCCTTCTATAAGCATCTTCGCAGGCTTGCAGTCATCAAACATCGGGAATAGGCCGCAATTTTTCACCCGCAAGACATTGCCATGAGTGAGAATAACAGCTTTGAGCTGAGTTGAGGAGCCCCTTATCAACTTGAGTGTACAAGATGGGATAAAACGCAACCACACATGATCCCCTTTAATCTCGTAACTTCTATTGAGAACAATGCCAGTATCGGAAATCAACTTCTTGTTTTTGTGCATCAAATAAAATTCAAGGCAGAATTGCATTTGCATGGTTGGATCGTTAATTGCATTTGCATGGTTGATCGTTGTTGGATGATGCTAGAGAAGTCCATTGCCATTAATTGACTTCGAAGAACGCCGCCCAAAAAGCAAACCCCCCTGAAATTAGTTCTCAGTAAAATCCAGGCACACCTTTAATTCGCACTGAATAAACCCGGACTCGAAATCAGGACCATACTGGAATTCGATTTCCAAGGACAATAAATAGTAAATTCAAGCAAAAAAAATAGAGATTGGTACCTGTATCATGAAAAATCATGAATTGTGTGTTAGACAGAGATTCCAATACTAGAAAGGCAAGAGTTAGGGAGCTTATAACCTGAAAAAAAAAATAAAATAAAGGTCTTGAGAAAGGATGGAGAAGACCCTTAAATAATAAAGGTCTTGAGAGATGGAGAGACCTTACGAATAAGTTGTCTCAGTAGCTCAACTGCTATAGTTGTTGCATTGCCATTACCCAATCTGAAGCAATTAATAAAATTGAAACCCATCATGCACAAGTTATTCAGCTTTGGTACGTGTACACTAACTAGTTCAGGGCAGTTCGGTGCTTCTATCCAATATATGTTGCATGGGAGAGGTGGCAACGAGGAAAGACCATTGCAGTCTGCCAAACAAATAACTTCGAGATAATTGGCAATGGTTTCAGGAGGTAACCTGGAAAAGTTGTTTCCGCTCAGATTTAATTTCTTCAAAGAGTATAACATTCCCAATTCCGTAGGGATTGACACATCATCCAAATTGCAGTAGCTTAAATCTAGACTTGTTAAATAGGATAAACTTCTAAAAAAACATTATAAACTTCTAAAAAAACATTGTTAAATAGGATAAATTTCTAAAAAAACATTTTCTGATATTGTCCCTATCTAATTCTTCCTGCATGGTTCCTCTGATGTTTACAAATGGAAATCCTTCACATCTGTGGAAGGACAGCATTTTAAGCTTCACAAAAGAGCATATGGAGAGTGGTGGATGTGTTATTTTCGTTCCACCTACATCAAGTTCTTCCAAATTTTCCAACTTCTCCAACTTCTCTAGCAATTGATTAAGATGAGAGCAGCCAGAAAAGTAAATAGTTCTCAGATGCTTTAAACCATTACCAAAGTTACAAGGAAGGAGTTGTAGATGTGCACAATTCCTGGCACTCAAAAGAACAAGGCCCGTAAGCTTTTCAATAGATGGAGGTAGTGCTTGTATAGCAGTGTCATCTAGATAAAGCTCTGACAAGCGGTCCATATCACCCTTGATCGCAGGAAATGTCTGAAGCTTTGAGCATCCAGACAGTATGAGGATCTCAAGAGAAGATGTACGAATTTCACTAGGAAAATTTTGAAGATTTGAGCAGTCTTTCAGATTTAATAATTTGAGGAGAGAACTCAGAGAGGAGTGAACCTCAGTTAATTCTGTGCAGCCTTGAAGAATTATTATCTCAAGGTTTGGCATCCCTGTGAAATCCGGTGTCCTAATGAGTTTCTGGGAATGACTTAGTTTGATGAACTTCAATTTATCAAATTTCTGTCAAAATAAAAATTCAAATCATTTAGCCGTGAATTTAATATCATATAGATATCATATAGACGAGAACTAAAATAGTGAACTAATAATATACCTTCTCTTCGTCAAAACTCTGTTCATCGTTGCTGTATGACATGTTAAGTTCAACAAGGTTTTTTGTGGATAAAAATGAGGTGGCAAACGTTTCATCAACTGGGATATCATTGCCAATAGAGGCATCGCAAATCACTTCGATTAAAGTAAGAAGTCCCTAGAACAGAGTCCCACATTTTGAGTCCTTAAAGGTATTCACTTTATCTTCATTTGTGCCCTTTGGAGAGACTGCATGTTAGCATCAGTGCTCGTTTTTGGATAAGCGTATTTCAAAGCCTCCACGATTGGATAAGGTATTCAAAGCCTCCAGATTTGTGAGCATAGCAAACCTTAAGCAATCTAAGTTTGGTCATCCTCTCGAAGACTTCAGTGTTAATGTGCAAGTTCTCTATTTTAGACAAATCTAGGATTATGCCCACAACTTCCGCCACCTGTAACCAAGAGCACAGACAAGACATATAGATATGCTACAGCTTTAGTGGGGTGGGGGAGAATTGGACATCGTATGATCTACTGTAAAGCAAGTAAAAGAAAAAAAAAAAAAAGTTCAATGCAGTTATTTCTTACTGTATTGTTTGCAAACGAAGTGAGGACATCATTATGATCCCACAATCTGGTCCATTTGCCTGGATCAGTTTCAGGTTGACGAACAATTTCCCATCCCATTTGTTGTACTAAATCATGCATCCAAAGTTTATTATCTAAAATGGAGATGAGAGATTTATCAATGAGAACTCTTAGATTAGCATGTGGGAAGAACCCGCAGCCTTCAAATACTTTGACAACATAATCTTTGTCCTCCCCCTTAAAGAAACATGCAATATCAAGAAACATATCCCTTTGGAAACGATTATCAAGTCTATCAAAACTTATTTTAAGCACATCATTAATTCCTTTTGGAGGACACATTTCAAGTTGGTGCAATTCGTCTAGCCATTCAAGTTCATTCTTGCCAGCTAAGTGGCAACCAAGAACCTCCAGAGCTAAAGGAACATTCTGAGCATACTTGACCACATTGTGTGAGAGCTTGGCTTGGAAATGTTGTTGAGTTCAACATCTGAATAGCAGTGATTTTTGAAGGCATGTTGAGTAAATAGCGTGAGAGATTCATTATCATTTAAAAGTGGGGCCTCGTATCTTTGATCCACTCCATGCGCCTCAAGCAGATGTTTATCTCTAGTTGTTATGATAATTCTACTACCAGGACCAAACCATTCATGCTCTCGAGCAACCATTCATGCTCTCGAGCTAAGGCTCTCAACTGTTTTATATCATCCACATCATCAAGAACAATAAGAACACGCATGTATTGGAACCTGTTCTTTATTACATCAAAATTGTCACCTAGAGTTCTTATTTTTTGAATTCCTTCCTTCAGTAGTTTAGAAAGAAGTTGCTCCTGTAAATGTGAAAGACCTAATCCAGGTTTACTTGCAACTTCTGTAACACCTTGAAGAAAGCAACAACATTCAAATTCACCATAGATACGGTCATAAACAGCTTTAGCTATGGTTGTTTTACCGATTCCTCCCATGCCCCATATTCCAACCATGAGAACATTGTCCAACCCCATATGTAATTTCGATTCCATTTCCCTTACACGGAAATCCATTCCAACTAGGCCTTTAGTACTATTGGTGCTTGTATGACTCAGTTTTCCCAAAATACAGATGGCAATTTCATCAATAAGAATCGCTTCCTCTCTGCCATAGTTGAAAGGGCGAAAAATCAAAAGAGTCGATACAAGAGAAACAACAGAAGAAGACTACAAGCAGCAATTAAAGAAGCTCAAAAGAGGATTATGCAGTTCTAAACAAGCTCAGAAATTAAAGAAGACATAAACAGAAACCATATAATTTGTAGCATAATTTGTTTGTTAGATAATCAAAATCACGAAAATAAAAATCATAAAATGGATTACCTGTTTCGTGCATCCCATCCAGATATGTTACCAGCCTTTGTAAGAGCTAATGTCCAACGCTCAACCTTCTCAGGAAATTTCAGTTTTGATTTAGCAAATCCTTCTCCAAACACACCGGTTTGCTTGCGCACCTCCGATGGGTCAACGTCGTAAAAAATTGGCAAAACTGCATCTCTGGCATTTGTTTTTGAATTTGATTTAGCAAATCCTTCTCCAAACACACCGGTTTGCTTGCGCACCTCCGATGGGTCAACGTCGTAAAAAATTGGCAAAACTGCATCTCTGGCATTTGTTTTTGAATTTGTCAGTACATCAGTCTTTGTATCTTTCTTAGGATCTGGTATACGTTCAATAATCTTCCCAAGTTCATCCAAGCAAAAAGTGGAATCAGCATAGTTCTTAGAAAAAACCACTACACAAAACCTTGAATCCTCAATTGCTTGAAGGAGTGATGGAGCGATCGTTTCTCCTTTGTCAAGTTTCACATCATCTTTGCAGGTTTTAATTCCTTTTTCTGTCAAAGCCTTGTACAGATGGCTTACAAAGCTATTCCGAACATCCTCACCTCTAAAACTCAAGAAAACATCGTATCTCCAAACTCGGGAAGCGGCAGCCACATCTGCAGTCGCAGAAACGGAAGTTCCAGCCTCAGCAGCTTTTGAAGAAGATGCTACAGAATAAGAGGCCATCGCAGCTGTTGTTGCAGAATTCGCAGCAGTATCAGAAAGAAAGACCGCTGTTGTTGTGAGTGGTTGTCTAATCTACTAAAAAAGAAAATAAAAAAACTATTAAAACAAAAAAATATAAATAAAGAGAAAAATGAAAAGCTATTAAAGTTAATGGCATATTGTATATCAACTATAAAAATATAAATGGAAAAAAGAAAACCGAAATAATAAAAGTTGATGAAGTGCATTGGCCAATCTATAAAAAGTATAAATGGAAAAAAGGAAAACGCGAGAATAATAGAAAGTTGATGAAGTTAATAATAAAAGTTGATGAAGTGCATTGGCGACAGTCGAACCCAGTCCAACTTAGTACAAAACATATCATTGTTGTTACAAACCAAGAGAGATTGAGAGTAAAACATTCCATTAAAAATATTTATTAAGCGGAACATTGGCCCCCTTTCCCTCACTTCAAGAAAATTGGGTATTTCAAGTTGCAAATTGAAGTTGATACATATGTATTTATATTATCCGATCTAATATCAATAACTAAATTTTGATGTTTTGGACTTACCCTTTTATTTTCTGTACCTTCCACTTTGGCTTTCTTAGAAGTCTCTACGAAGACAGATTGCAAACCTTTTTTTATAAAAGGACGGAAAGCAAGAGCAATGTGTCAACAATATATGCCAGTGTTCAAACGTTTGGTACAAGGAAAGTTTGAGGGGTATTTGCTTTTTGGGCTGTTTTCGAAGTCGACGACTATGACTCTGATAATTATCCAACCATGGAAATGCAATGCGGATTTGAACTTTATTTGGTGCATAACAACTATGCAATGCGGATTTGAACTTTATTTGGTGCATAACAACTATAAGGTGATTCCTGATACTGGGTTTTTATAAATAAAAGTTCCAAGTTCGAGTCGAATCATTTGTGGTTGCATTATATATATACCGTCATATTCATTCAATATGACAAGGAAGATGGGTAGTTGGACTAGGCTAAAGGCTGTTTCTGCTCACTCGTGCAAAGGCTTGAGGGTGAAAACTGTGGCCTATTTCCCGATGTGTGTTTGTCTGATTTAGACTTCCGGAACCGAACCGAAAATTAACGGTTCCGGTTTTGGTTCCAATTTTGGTTTCTCAATGGTTCTAAAATCGATGGTTCCAGCTGGTTTTTTAATCGATTCTCCGGCCGATTCCGATCGGAACTGGAGTCGTCGGTTCCAATTGATTTTGGGAGCCACCGGTTCACCGTTCTAAACTGGTGGAAGTAGAACCGAACTGGTTTGGACTGGTTTCGGTTTCGGTTCCGATTTTCACCGGTTCAAAACCGATGATTCTAGTTTCGAAAACCGGAATTTGGCCACCCTTAGTTTGATGGGATAGTTTCTATGCGATTTTTTTTTTTTTTTATACCCATTCGAATGAAAGTCACAATAAGGCAAATAATTTTCTCGGTTAAATTTTGCCTAGAAACGATGCACTACAATAAACATGTGAACCATGATTTAGTTAGATGCAATTGCTTTGCAATGGAATTTACATGTATATGCAGGTTAAAATGGTTTTGTGTCGTTCCACAAGCCAATCTCTATGCAAAAGAGAATTCCTCATAAATTTTTTTTTTTTTTTTTTTTTTTTTGTTTTTTTTTTTTTTTTTTTTTTTAACTTGGAATCCTGATCTATAAATGTGTGTATATATAGAGTTATTATAAGTGAAAATGTGATTTCATGTGGGATGTTTAAAAGAAATGGCGAACCAATAGTAGCAAAGTAATTGTCGGACCCAGTGTTAAACAACTGGGCACATGGAGGATGAATTATTTTAACCGGTGGATTAAAATTTCAATTAGTGGGCCTAGGCATGGCCAAATTACGGTTCCGGGAACCGGAACCGTCGGTTCGAACCGGCCCGGAATCGTAACCGGAACCGGTAAGAACCGGAACCGGGACGAACCGGAACCGAAACCGGAAAAATCCGGTTCGGTTCCGGTTCCTGCAAATGTGCATGAGGAACCGACCGGCGGATTCCAGGAAGAACACGGTCGTAACCGACTGGAACCACCAGTTCTCCGGCCGTTAGAACCGCCGTTTCGACCAGGTGGTTCTAGCCGTTGTAACTGTCAGAGTTTTTGAATTTTTTTTTTTTTTTGTTGTGAAGATGTCTTTTAATTACCCCTCGAACAGCCAGTAAACGGCTATATAACGGCTAGTTTTAAGGGTATTTTTTGGAAAATGAATTTTTGGATTTATTAATAAATACCTCATCTTTTACAAATTCAATTACAAAAAAAATCTTCAACTCTCTCTAGCTTACTCTCTCTACAATATTAACCATAACTCCTCTTACTTACTCTCTCTACAATATACTACACCTCTCTACTTACTCTCTCTAAACCCAAGAGGATACGTATGGGTGGGAGGCAAACTTAATTTTTTTTTTAAAACAAAAAAATAATTAAGTTTCAAGCCCGATTTTTTTTTTTTAATTTTTTCAAACTTAAAAAAAAAAAATTCAGTTCAAAAATTTTTTTTAAAAAATCATGTTATTTCCAACACTCAACAATTCAAGTCTTTAAAAAATAAATTTAAATTGAAGTATTTTTTTAATTTTTTAGGTGTATTTTTTTAAATTTTTTATGTTCAAATGAAATTTTTTTTTAAACCGCGATCTTCAAATTTAAAAAATTTGTTTTAGGTGTATTTTTTTAAATTTATATGTTCAAAATAATTTTTTTTTTAAACCGGTCTTCAATATTTTAATAATTTTTAACTGTATTTTTTAATTTTTTATGTTCATAATAAAATTTTTTTTAAAGACCGGGTATCCAAAATTTAAAATAAATTATGCGATTCGCCGGAAAACCAATCGGAACCGTCGGTTTTGTAATCGGATCGGAACCGGAACCGGAACCGAAACCGGACGGTTCGGAACCGGAACCGGAACCGGACCATTTCGGTTCGATTTCGGTTCCAGCTTTTCTGGAACCGGAACCACCGGTTCCGGAACCGTGGCCATGTCTAAGTGGGCCATAAAAATTTAATATATGTAAATTAAATAATTATAATTTAAAATAATTAAAAATGTTAAAAAATCAGTCTGGATCAATTGGCCTGTGTAGATCGATTGGTTCAACCACAAGTCAATTGGTTCAATTAAGTTCTCTTCCTTCAGTAAAACCGGCCCAATTTAAGGTTAGTTCACCTGTTCTTTGGGTTGACCCGCCGAGTCGGATTGGATTTAATAATTATGGTAAGACCCACTTTAGAAAATTAACTACCAAGAAAATATGTAAATACAATTTTTTTTTTTTTTAATCAATTTTTTTTTTTTTTTAGAAAAATCAAACTAGAAGGTTTCAAGTAATTATTTTTTTTTTTTTTTAGAAAAATCAAACTAGAAGTTTCAGTAATTAGAAACTATATACAGATATGGGATACAGATCAATATATTTTTATATTTTTGTATAGGAAGTCTAATAATAAACAACTTATACAAAGAATAAAAAAAACACAATCTTAATTTGAAGTATCTGATTGAGTTGACAAAGTATAATATTTTTGTCATAGGCGATCGCTTGATCCACTTGGTGGCTATTTATAACCACTGTTCGACTCTATCGTCTTTCTATAAATCTGATATGATTACTTTCAAATTTCTTTTTTCTACTGGAGAGAGAATCTGCACTTTTTTTACATAACTATCTAAATAATAAAAAAACGCTAGACAAAATCACTATAATTGTGATACCAATAACTCAGAACTAAATTTGAGAACAAAATCTCAAAATACGGGCAATAATAAATCCCAATATTTAGGCGATAATAACTCAGATTTAGAAACAAATCTGAGGATTATTTGCCAAAAAAAAAAAAAAGGAAGGAGGTGACCACCGGTGAGAGCTCACCGGTGGCCGCCTGTGAAAGAAGAAAAGAGAGTTTTTAGATTTTAAGTTTTGAGATAAGAAGAGAAGGTGAGAGAGCTGCACAAAGTCAACAATATTTAAACTTTGTAAATACAATTTTAAAATTCAAGAGAAGTATCTACAAGAGAGAGAGAGGGAGAGACGACAAAAGCCATGGTATAATACCATGATATTGTGATAAATTGATTACTCCTTATGTTCCTTATTCTTCTTTTCTTTTTTGAAAACTCTTATGGTCGTACAAAACTCGAACTTGAAACTTCTCATTCCTCACATCAGTGAAAAGACCAATCAAATCATATTTGATTGGCTAGAGATTTCTTTCTTTATTAATCAAGGAAATATTCGATAACAATCCAACCATAAAAATGCAGTACGACCTTGAAATTTATTTGATGCACAACTATAAGATGTATTCTGATATTGAATTTGTTATCAATAGAAATACTAAGCCTATACATTCAAACTGAGAAGAAAGCTGGACAGTTCGAGTAAGCCGAAGGTTGTTCTTTTCATTCGTGGCCAAGGCTTGTGGGTGAAAAAGTAAATAATTTAATTATGCGACTGAGGGAGCAATACTTAAATTTTAATAATTTAATAGTATTATTTATAATTTATTATTATTGAATTGTAGATTTACATGCAATTGTATTTTTCATAACAAATGTTATAATTTATTATTATTGAATTGTAGATTTACATGCAATTGTATTTTTCATAACAAATGTGAAAGAGAAAGATTTACCTATACCAGTGTACATACTCACCCATCAATTAAATCAATTAAACTTAATTTTTTAATTGAAATGAAAGTATCTCTAACTATTCATTAGGTAAGAAAAGGATAACTATAAATCATTTTTAAAAAAAATCTCTTCATTAATTGGTTTGGTGTAGGGGTGGACTCATACCGGTTTAGGCAAGTCTTGTTCATAAATTTAGTGTATTTTATAAAAAATAAAATATTCCTTAAAGTTGCTAGGGTGGACCCATCCTGAGATTTCTGTTAAGCGAGCATGCTTAATCCTGGAGTTCTTCCAACTCTCCAGCCATTCCACCAAAAGGCACCTCTAATGATTAGTTTCCCTTTTTCGATATATGATTCGATTTATTTCTGTTATTTCTGTGTCCTGCATTCCACTACCCTAGCTATGCCTACCCGTCATAAGGATCACTTTGCCGGGTCAGGAGTCCACAACTATGATTTTTTTGGATCATGCAAAAAAACATACAATCTGTCCACAATGCGGTTCATACTTGATTTTTTGGATCCTGTTAATTATCCCAGCAGATTATGCTTTTTTTTTTTTTTTTTTTTTTCAATCTTTGTTGATTTAATTTAAGTTTTTTTTTTTTATTTACTTTTTTTGGTTGATTAATTTAGAGTTTTTTTTTTATTTACTTTTGCCATAAACAACAACATTGCTTGTTTATTCTAAGAATTTTTTTATAGGAGATGAAAATATTTTTTTCTTCATAAGGTGAATAAAAAATAAATTTATTTAAAAAAGTAGCTAAAAATATAATTACATAAACAAATATATTAAATGTGGTCAAAATTTTTTTAATGAAAATAGTATAGATAACAACAAAATAATAGAAATTCTTTTAGCATACATAATCATTTCAATAGAAAAGAAATAATATCTCAAATTTACAATTTAGAAATTACAATGAAAATAAATATTTGTATTTAAAATTTTAAATATATTTTATTGTAATTTTAAATTTTAATCAATTCAATTTTATATTATTTTTTAAAAATTATTAAAATAGAATCATGGACTGTAATATTAAATCTATCTTTTTGACTATATAAAATATCATATGTGTTTATTCAATAAATTTATAATTCTAAAATTTTTTTAAGTTGTTATATTTTAATTCAATAGCAAATAATAAACAATTGAAATATAAATTTACAATCCTATTATATATTTTAATATTTATGTGAATTTTATTTATTCATATAATGAAATCAAATTCAAAGCTAAATTTAAAAAAGAATGTAAAATTAAAATTAATGATATAAGTCATCCAATAGAAACAAAACATAATTTATTGAAATTGTGGAACTTTAGATGCTTTTATATATATATATATATATATTTAAGATATATTTAAGTTAATTGAATTTATATAAAAATTAACTAAAACTTTTCTTATATATAAAAACTAATTAAAAATAACTAGCTAAAACTATATAAATAAATAAACTAAAAAATAAAATAAAAAAAAAAACCAAAAAACTGCAGCCTTTGGATTTTGATCTCAGGACTTCAAACGTGATGATGTGACTGAAGGCGCACTAGAAAGTTTTATCGAAGTCAGGGGGGCGGTGGCGCACAGGCCCCCGTGGCTCCGGCAGTGTCGTGTGAGGATCCAATTGAGGCATGGCTTTAATGATTAACTGAAGGTTGAAAACGAAGTTACATGGCACTTCCCGACAAAATCCGAAAGAGTACACTGTTGTTACTTGTACGAACAATATTAGCATTGAACAATATTAGCATTAATAAAAATTCCTCGGCTGTTTATTAAAATGTTAGTTGATTTGTTCAGTCTTCTGCATGTGAATTGTCTAAGTCAAATTTTCTCGATTCCCTTAATTATCTATAAATTGCTTCATCGAACATGGTTATGTTAAAAATTTTGAGTTCACATTCGTCCAGTTATTCCTTTTCTTGTACTCTCCTATGGGTTCTAACCTCAGCACCGGTGGAGCTGCGGGCTATTCTACCGTGGATCCTGGAGCTGAGACTATGACTGCACCATCTTCTTTTTCTTCTGTAAGTGTGGAAACTATGACTGCACATTCTGCAACTCCGGCGGCCATAACCTCTGATTCTGCTACCGTGAAAACTACACATAAAGCTCATGTGACTGCTCCGGCTACACATAAAGCTCATGTGACTGCTCCGGCTGCTGCAAAAGTTACTGTTGCTTCCAGTTCTTGGGAATATGACGTTTTCTTGAGTTTCAGAGGTGAAGTCAGGCACGAGTTTGTTAGCAATTTGTATAACGCTTTGACTGAAAAAGGGATTAGAACCTACAAAGATGATAGGAGTCTTGACAAAGGGAAAATAATCACTCCCGCACTCCTTAAAGCGATTCAGGAGTCAAGATTTTGTGTCGTAGTTCTTTCTAAGAATTATGGTTCTTCCTCTTTTTGCTTGGATGAACTCGTGAAGATCACTGAACGTATCCCAGATTCAGAGACAGATGCACAGAAATATACAATGAAATGTACAGTTTTGCCAATATTCTACAATGTGGATCCATCTGATGTGCGCAAGCAGACTGGTGAGTTTGGAAAAAAATTTGCCAAGTCAAAATCTAAATATGCTGAGAAGGTGGAGGGTTGGAAATTAGCTCTTATAAAAGCAGGCAACAAATCTGGATGGGATGCGAGAGATAGGTAATCCTTTTCTTAGTACTTTTTTCATGTTCATTTTGTAGTTGGACTCTGAACACTCTGCTTATAATCTTCTTCATTTCTGAGCACCTTAAATTGCATTTTGTCAGTCGTTTATCTTTCAATCAGTCTTTTTATTTATGTTTTTGTTTGACCTTTTCATTCCATCCGTTTCCAATTCTGCAGGGATATTCCTACTCTTATTGATGAAATTGCAATCTATATCTTGAAAAAACTGAGTCGTACGTTCCCCAAAAGAGCTAAAGGCCTAGTTGGAATGGATTCCAGAATAGAGGAAATGAAATCAAAATTACATCTGGGGTTGGATGATGTTCGCATAGTTGGAATATGGGGAATGGGAGGAATTGGTAAAACAACCATAGCTAAAGCTGTTTATGACAATAGCTAAAGCTGTTTATGACAGTATATATTGCCAATTCAAAAATTATTGCTTTCTTGAAAGAGTTGGAAAAGTGGCAGAAACATTCGGTCTTCAACATTTACAGGAACAGCTTCTTTCTAAACTATTAAAGGAAGATATCCAGACAATAAGAAACCTGGGTGGAAATTTGGATGCAATAAGGGAAAGGTTACAATATATGCGTGTCCTTATTGTTCTTGATGGTGTGGATAATGGCGAAGAGATGGAAGCCTTAGCAGCGGACCATGACTGGTTTGGTCCTGGTAGTAGGATTATTATAACAACTACAGATCGCAACTTACTAGCAAATAGAGTGGATGAAATTTATGAGCCTAAAGGTCTAAACCATAATGAATCACTTTCTTTGTTCACTCAATATGCTGTCCAGAATAGCTATCCTGTAGATAAATTCATTAAATTCATGGAGCTCTCGCGCCTTATAGTGAAGTATGCTGAAGGTGTTCCTTTAGCTCTGAAGGTTCTTGGTTCCTTTTTAGTTCCCAAGAATGAAAATGAATGGCAAAGTGAATTGCAGAAACTTAAAAAATATCCGAATATAAAGATCCAACAAGTGCTGAGGATCAGTTATGATGGGCTTGATGATCCGCAAAAATATACATTTCTTGATATTGCATGTTTTTTTAACGGGGAGGATAAATCTTATGTGGTGAAAGTCTTAGAAGGCTGTGGATTCCATGCAGATGGTGGTCTGAAGGCTCTCGTTGATAAATGTCTGAGCATGTTTTTTCTAACATGGGGTAGAGACATAAATCTTACTGTGGTGGCGGTGGGAAGTCTTAAGAAGGCGATGGATTCCTTTCAGGTAAGGCGAGATGGATGGTTGAACGAGCTCTTCGGGCTCTTGGATTAAACATGTCTTATTCCCATGGTTAATATGTTAAGATAATTAAGATATGAGATGAGATGGTTAAATGCTGAGGAAAACCTGGGAGGAATATTGTTATCTCGATTCAGAAAGATCACATATGTAAGTCTTCTCCTCAAGAAAGCTCTCGTTGCGGGGAGGATAAATCTTATGTGGTGAAAGTCTTAGAAGGCTGTGGATTCCATGCAGATGGTGGTCTGAAGGCTCTCGTTGATAAATGTCTGATTACCATTTTAGATAATAAGATATGGATGAATGGTTTACTGCAAAAAATGGGACGGGATATTGTTCGTCAAGAGTCTCCAAGAAAGCCCGGTGATCGCAGCAGATTGTGGGATCACGAAGATGTGTATCAAGTGTTGAAAGAAAATGCGGTGAGAAATCATTCCCATGAAAGTTGGTTCTTTTATTTGCAACTTGCAATTTTACATGCTTAAATGATTTTCTAAGACTATCTCTTCCCTATATGTGTTGCAGGCGACAGACAATATTGAGGGTATGATCCTGGATTTGTCTAAAGTAGACAATTTAGTTATTGATACCGAAGTCTTCTGGAGGATGAAGCGCCTTAGAGTGCTTAAGATCTGCTATGTTGACCATTCTGGGGGTTTTGAATACCTAACCCAAAATTCAAGAACATATGCTATAAGGCCACCCAAAAAGTCTCGTGCAATTCTTTATGGAGATTTTTCAAAATTGTCTAACGACTTGCGGTGCTTGTATTGGCATGGATGTCCCCAAGATTTGCCATCAAAATTTTATCCAGTGAACCTTGTTGAACTCAATATGTCATACAGCAGCATAACAAAGCTTCCAACAGAAAGCAAGGTATTGTTGTCAAGTATTTTCATTCTGGTCTATATGATGTGAGATTCACGGCCAAGTAGTTTGATTTTCTTTTTTATTTGACAGTGTTTCGACAATTTGAGGTTCATCAAACTCAGTCACTGTCAGAAACTCACTATGACACCAGATTTTTATGGGGTCCAAAAGCTTGAGATACTTATTCTCGAAGGGTGCAAAAGTTTAATACAGGTTCATCCGTCTCTGGGTTCTCTCAAAAGCCTCAGATTATTAAATCTGAAAGACTGCTCACTTCTTCAGTCCTTTCCAAGTGAACTTCGCACAATATCTCTGGAGATTCTCATACTCTCTGGATGCTCACTGCTTAATAAATTTCCTGAGATTAAGGATAATATGGAAATCTTGTCAGAGCTTTTTCTAGATGACACTGCTATACAAGCACTACCTTCATCTATTGAAAAGCTTACGGGTCTTGTTCTTCTGAGTGCCAAGAATTGTAAATATCTTTGGGATCTTCCAACAAGCATTGGACATTTAAAGCATCTGAAGAGTACTTATTTTTCAGGATGCCCCAATCATTACACATTGCTAAAGGAGCTACAATGCCTGGAGAACTTGGAAGAACTTTATCTAGATAAAGTGACAATAAAAAATCCACCACTCCCTATCTGCTCTTTTACGAAGCTTAAAGTACTTTCATTTCGTGAATGTGAGAATTTTCCATTTGTAAACACAGAACAGAGTCTGCCAGAAGAAAATAGAGAGAATTTGTCACCATATTTTTATGGCAGTTTATCCTGTTTAACAAGTCTTGATCTCAGCTACTGCAATTTGACAGAAGTATCAATCCCTAAAGAATTTGGCCTGTTAGAGTCTTTGAAGGAATTAAATCTGAGTGGAAACTACTTTTACACATTACCCGTAATCGGTGCCCTAGAAGAGGAAATAGAGAGGATAGTTGTTTGTGGGCAACTATTTCCTTTTTTTGGGATTTTTCTTTCAGGCGTAAGGGGGAAGGAATTTTTTATGGCACGTTTATCCTGTTTTAACCAGATCTTGATCTCAGATATGCAATTTTGACAAATAGTAGGGGTACCAAAAGTCGCCATTTAAGAGAAAGCTATTTGGCCTGGTTAAAGTTATGGTCTTTGAGAGGCATACTTAATCTGAGTGGCTTAAAAACTACTTTTACCAACAATTACCTCTCAAAACTTTTTTGCCAATATCTTTAAGAATCTAACCAAGTTATTTGTTTAACAGAAGGCTCATCAATTTGTCTCAGTGCCACAAATTCTTCTCGCCCAAGGAGAGAGAGTAGACTAGAGGAATGAGTACCAGATGACCGCTTCGCCCACCAGATCTTTAGCCCGTGGAGGCTACCATATCAGCAACTGAGCCCGAGTTGTTCCACTGAAGGGGATCTCAGAGTAAGCAAGAGAGGTGTTCAATTTTTCAGAATTTCGTTAGGGCTGTCACACCTTGAGGGTTGTATTTTGAGTGGGGAGGAGCAGAAGTGTGCAGCATGATCGTGTAGAGCACAATACAAGGTTAGGGCGAACTTGAGCTGCTGAACATTCATGTTTCGCAATGGTCTATTGGTGTACCTGTCGAACTCACTTTTATTAAGGGTCTTCTCTTGTTCATGTATCTTGAAATTGATTTCATAGAATTCTTTATTTTCCTTTGCGGTCAACTTAATTATAATTTTTCTTGATCTTTCGTATGATGACAAAATTGCCCAGAACTAGTCAATGTAGCGCCAAGACTGAAGGGATCGTGCAAGAGCTATTTCAATTTTATGAATTGTTCCAACTTGGGTTATGTTTATGGGGAAAAATGTGAGGCTTCTGCAATAAAGGTAGCACTTGAGCTGCTGAAACATCATGTTCGCAAGGTCTGTTACTCTATTTATTTCCCTTGTTCATGTTCTTGATTGATTTTCATAGAACATTCTCTTTCTTGCTCACAAATAAATTTTCTTGATTTGTATGATGCAGGTATCATTCACTGAATTTACTGTTATTATTCCTGGAGGTGGGATTCCAGTGTGGTCTGAGCACGAGCAGAGTCACCCTTCAAAGAGTATCAATCTGCCTGGAGATTGGTACAAGGAAAGTTTGAGGGGTTTAGCTTTTTGGGCTGTTTTTGAAGTCGACGACTATGACTCTGATAATGGTACAGCCATGGAAATGCAATGCGGATTTGAACTTTATTTGGTGCATAACAACTACAAGGTGATTCCTGATACTGGATTTTTTATAAATAGAAGTAGCAAGGTTGTGTCAGATCATTTGTGGTTGCATTATATACCGTCATGTTCATTCAGTACGACAAGGAAGATGGGTAGTTGGACTCAGCTAAAGGCTGTTCTGCTCACTCGTGGCAAAGGCTTGCGGGTGAAAAAGTGTGGCGTGTACCCAATGTGCTGTTTGCCCAATGGGAGAGTAGCTATTTAGAGGATAGTCAAGGCAAGATTTTTTTTTTTTTTTTTTCCTTCACTGGGATGAAAGTTATAACAATAGTAAATAATTTCTCAGTAATTTTTTTCCAAAACCCATGGACTAAAGTAAAGAGGTGAAGCATGATTTTATTGAATGCAATTGCTTCCCAATGAAATATACTCGTATAGGTTAGCTGGTTTTGCAGTAAGGAAATTTTATGCTGAGAAATATACTAGAATGATGAACGTTCTCATTGGCAATTTCTCAAACAATTTTATGCTGAGAGCACTTGATTGAAATAAATCAATAAATCATCCTGTAGTCCATAAGCAATTCACCTAAATCATCCTTACACTCTAGATTTTCAGTTTTCTTTTCCGCCTAATGTTATATCAGAAAATTGAAGGCAAATCAAGAAACGCCTGAACCAGTGATCCACTTGTTATAAAGGCCCGACAAGGTTTGGCCCGTGATTTACAATCTAAGCCCACGAACTAAGTTGGCCAATCGAAACGACGACCTTTTAAAGCGTTTCAGCCGCAACAAAGTTCTCTCGGCTTCTCCATTCATTTGGTCAATTTTCTTTCCTCCGATCCTCGTCTCACAGAAAACTAACCCCGGAATCAGGAGAGATAAATCCCGAGGTTAGCCTTTTTTTTTTTTCCCTCCTGTTTGTAACAAAAACAAAGAAGAATTTATTAAACACACTTCTGAGCTTACTGGTCTCAGTGTATTATGTGTTTTCTTTTGGTGCACGTGCACCACTCGTTTGATGAAATGTTTGTGAGAGAAAATTAAGTTTTTTCAATATTAAACGAAGGATTTTATTATCTATTGTTGCTGAGAAAATGTAAAAATATGAAAAAAATGAATTAATTGTTCAGTTTGTCTTTTTGGTTCTTGAGCATCTTGTGAATTTATGCATTGGACAGAATGCCGTTAGTTGATTCTGTTATATGATCACTTCAATATTGCTGCTTAATGGTTGCCATTACTATAATTGGCCTGGCCAAAATGTGACCTGGTATATATATATATATATATATATAAAACATGTTTTAAGTAATAAAATATATGGAAAAAAAATGAATTAACGTTGTTCAGTTTTGTCTTTTTTGGTTCTTTTGAAGCGCATCTTGGTGAAATTTATTGCAATTGGAGACGAAGAATTGCCGGGTAAGCTTATTTGATTCTGAGATTAATATGATGGTCCCACCTTCTTCATAAATATTGCTGTTAATGGTGTGCCATATATATTAGTTGCTGCCACTGAGGCACAAAAAGGTTGGGACTCCTTCCAGTAGCTCACCTTTAGTTAATATATTAATTATATAATATATGTAGCGGTATGGGCTAATTAATTAAGAGTAATTAGATACTAAGGATTTATTCCCTGAAGTCAAGATATTAGCGTTCCAATTTATACTGACATTGTCCAAAGAAGGCTGCTTGGGATGAGTTTCGTTATACGCTGTAAATGGTCGTATAACTATCTTGAATATAACCCTTTTACTATTGTGTATCAAATTAAAGCTCCAATTGGTCTTCAGAATGGTAAGATTAACGAACGTCGTAAATTGTGTTTTACGAGGTAGTGTATGTTTCCAGGACATACATTTATGAATATATATTGTAACATTTAATAGTCCCATTCTCATTTGTAGCAATTGGGACTTTGTTGCCTCAAAGTAAAAAGTATGAAAATATTTGAGTGGATGAGAATATGCCTAGGCTAGGGACTTGAATGCCAGTTTTTTCCTAATTTCGGCCTATTACTCTGTTTTCATTGTGGCGTTTTTCTTTATTGAAGCATACAGGGCAAGTGCCATAGATGGTATTCTAAATTTGTGTTCATGAAATTTTTGTTCATGTTAATAACAATTCTTATTTGGCTTGGTAGCTAATTTCTTTTTTTACCCCTTATTTTTGTCATATTCTCCAGATTTTTGCTTAAATATTACTTGAATCAGAATTTCATGATTTTTTACCCCAGTTTTATAACAACGTGATGGTATAGAGGATTACTGAATTACCCCGTAGAAGCTTCATTGAGACCCTTTTTATTTTCATGATGTTGTTCAACATTGTTAGATACTAATTAAGTGAACTTTTGTTAGACTCCCTGAGTGCATGGAAATGCCAGATTGATTTGAAGAGCAAGTCGTGGAAGATCACTATTCTGTTAGTAGTCCTAGAAGAGTCCTTAGTTTTTCAAAGAGGAAGAGGGGAACTGTATCCTTTCAAGACCCTGATGACAAGCCTTCAGGCTTTGGAGAGCCTTCAGGCTTTGGAGTGTCTGGAGAGCATGGACTAAAAACTTCGGAAGTGTATGGTTTTGTTGGGTCTATTACAACTATTGTCGCTACAGGTTCATTTCTTATAAAACTTCATTATGTTGAAGTTTATGCTGTCTAAAATCCTATAAATATTAGAGCTTTCTTGAATATCTGCATTGCTCTTCCATTACCAAGGAATGGTTTTTGCAGAATGCCTTATCCTGCTCCTGTCCATCTGGATTTCATGAGATTTATAAATCTGTTACACTAAATTAATTCAGTAATATGTTAAAAATATTTTTACATATTTTGTCCTGGTATGAAAATTATTATGCTTTGCCATCCTTAATGCTGTAATATTGTGTGCAATTTGAGCTATAAATGGTTAGTGGTATTTTCTCTCTAAGAATTCTACTCGAGCATGTAGCTCTGCTAATTTCATATTGATTTCTTTTGTTTTGCCTGTGCAGTTATTTTCTTGATATGGGCATATGTTCCTGAACCTTGTTTACACTCGATTGGGATCTTTTATTATCCCAATAGGTCTGTACTATGCACACTATCTTATTTCTTTTTTCGCTTTAGTTAATTTTAAAATTTCTTTGCTCTACCAAAAACACGTTGCTTGCTTGACTAAATAATACAATTAAATAGCTGAAAGTCTCTGAGTGTCAACTTATTTCATCGTCTAAAATACTCTTAATTGTATTTCTGGCAATTTTCAGGTATTGGGCACTGGCCATCCCAACTTATGCGATGGTTACCGTAGTCCTAACACTTATGTTTTACATTGGCCTCAACTTCTTCTCGACTCCTCCTGCAACTTCTATAAGTACAATTTATGGTAAGTTGTGGCTTGTTTGTTGTGTATGTTCCTTGATTTTAATAATTTTTTTTTTTTTTTTTTTTTATGGTAAGTTGTGGCTTGTTGTTGTGTCATGTTCCTTGATTTTAAATAATTTTTTTTTTTTTTTTTTTTGGTTTTTAACCACCAGTGTTCCAGAAGTCTACTGGTCCAAACTAATGGTTAGGCAAAAAAAGCAACTTCCTAGGAAGATATTTAATGAAACTCTATACCCGGAGCTTAAAACTGAAGTTTCTCTGTTAAGTAGTCCTAGAAGAGGATCCCTTGGAAGGTTGATTTTAATAAAATTTAGTAAACTACAATAAATAATCTAACAGGTTTCCACTTATTTCACGTAAACTTTTTTTTTTTTTTTTTTTTTGGTTTTAACCATCCAGTGTCCAAAGTCTACTGGTCCAACTAATGGTAGGCAAAGCACTTCCTAGGAAGTATTTAAATGAACTCTATACCCGGAGCTTAAACTCGAAGTTTCTGGTTAGTAGTCCTAGAAGAGTCCCCTTGGAGGTTGATTTTAATAAAATTTAGTAAACTACAATAAATAATCTAACAGTTTCCACTTATTCAGTAACCGTAGTGATATATGCAAGCACTTTTACCATAGTATTTCACACCCGTAATACCGTCAATTGTTATATGATCATCCGTTGTATTTTGCAGATGAATTCAGCAGAGAACCTGTAAATTCTGTTCGTTCGACCAATGTAGACGAGCAACCCATTGAGCCCATTTCTGATATTGGTATTGATAAGATAAACACTCTCATGTTTACCGATATAAAATGATAGATTCACCTTTGCATTCTGCTTCATATATATTAATTGTCTGTTTTTGTTTCTTAATGAATGGATATGTGAATTTTACTGTTTACTGTTATTGTGAACAACTGAACCATTTGTGTAATTGTTTTTATGGTTAAGTATTAAATTCATAATCAAGTGTCTAAGTGCATGAATTAATGAAAATTATATAATTTATAACCGAGTACTAGTTTGTTGAAGATGGTAATCTACATTTTGTCAAACGAGCAAAGAACAGTCACATTAGCCTTCTTGTGTTGCTTTCATATATCCTAATTCATTCACAACAAAGACAGTCGTTTTCTTTGTAATGACAGGAGGACTAAACTGGGGATAATCGGACTGTCGTTAACGTTTGTCGTTTCATTTGCTAAATCACCGGCTAGTTAATAAGAAATATACAACCTCTCAAATAACTTAAAAAAAATTTAAACTATTAATTTAAAAGTTACAAATAAAATATTATATACAAAATGAATTGTGAATCAAAATACTTACAAAAATATAATAGGTTTAATTTGAGTGAAAATGACTCGAGTTTTTCAAGTAAGAAGTTGAGTGTTAAAATTCTTGTAAATAGAGCTTTCTTTTATTGACCGGACGGTGTAAACAGGATTAGATTTAGCCCAATGGGTTGATTGATATAAATTGAAAAATAAATAATAATTACAAAAAAAATTAATTGTTGCCAACCATAATTTAAAATAGAAAACGCAACTCCTATTTGGTGTCAATTATTAATTTAAAAATGTTTAGAAAAAAAGAAAATTTTGAAAATACATTGATATTTTGAAAATCAGCGATAGGATAACAGAAAAATGAAATGCAACAGGAATAATTTGTAAAAAGTTTATATACATGTATATTCTTTTTAAAAAAAAAAAAAAAAGAAATATATCATAAAAAACAATTTCTAGAAGAATAAGCAATAGTGATAAAGTAACAGTGATTGGCAGACAGGATGACTTAAACCCACTTGATTTGTTAGCCAGCCGCCAAGTGGAATTAGCTAGTGAGAGTGAAAGGTTAGATGAGCTGTTAAAAATCTTTACCTTTCAAAACAAAAGATTTCCAAATCCATGACAACAATTTCTCAACTAAATTTAAGGATTTTCCCCAAGTATCTATCATCTACCCACCAAAGCTCCATTTACCCTTATAAACAAATGTGAAAGGTCCTTAATTACTCCATTTACCCCTATAAAAAATTTTGAAATTTGCATGATTAATATTCAAATTAAAATTTTACTAGAATCAATAGTAGAAAAGTAATGCTTGAATGCATTTTGTAATTCCCAAACATAATACCTAAAAAAGAAGTTCGATGATGAAAAGCGGAATACATAAATTCAATCTGGAATTTTATTGCTTTAATTTTATTGGCACCGTGAACTTTTACTTTAATTCATCAAACACTTCAATTTATAAAATTATACTTATTAAACGCTTCAATTTTTAAATTTATTCTATTGAACACTTCAGCTTGCAAAATTAGATCAATTAAACACTCATTAAAAGTTAAAATTTATTAAAATTATTGTTCTAAAAGTCATGTTAACTATATATCCAGTTAATATTTTGCAAACAAAAGCCAAAAATCCTAAAATTTATTGATATTAATGTCTAAAAATGTCTAATATTATCAAAATTTATAAGTTGAAGTGTTATGATCCTTATGATTTCTAGATTCAAATGATAGCAGTTGGATTTATACCACTCAATTGGAAAAACATATATAAATCTGCAAGAAAGGTACTAACTAACCTACAAGACGGCAGCAAATACTATAACTATCCCTTGTTGGAAACTTTTACTTTAAAAATGATGGCCATCACATTTATATTTAATATTTTCATACTCATATGGTAAATATTCCAACTTAATTTTCACCTTTTAGGGTTTTAGCTTATAATATCTTAAAATTTTCGAGAGATCCGATATATTATTAAAAGTGTTTATTTTTAATAAAAATTGTAACTTCAACGGTATATGATGAATCTCTCAAAAATTTTAGAGTGACAGAGAAATAAAATCTTAAAATTCAAGTGTAATTTTATGGATTAGATCTTAAATATCGTATGCATTTTTTACCATCATTCTCAAAACTTAATTAGCATATTTTCTTGAGTTGAACTTTCTTTTCCTTGAGATGTTAGCATATTTCCAAGTCAACACATACATTTTTTTATGCATTAACAGAAGAAAAAAAAACACTAATTAGAAATAACTCATGTGTGTTCAATACCCACTAAATCATGAGCTAACCAAGATAAAATATTCGACCGACGATAAAAAAAACAATCTTTGGTGTTATATGGGTTAGAAGACAAGCAAATATAAGAGTTCACTCACTTCCTGGAGCTACATACCATTATGTTTATTTTCAAGTACGGAGTTTATATCTCATTTTTCCTTGAAAAAAAAAGAAAAAAAAAACACGTCCATATAAAAATTATTTCCCTGAAATAGAATTATTCAAATAAAATCACTTGCCATCTAAGTTAGGGAATGAAAACAAGTGGGCTATATACATATGGCAACCTAGCTATATGCAATGGTTGTTGCCAATGTCACTTGTTTGACTAGAATACAAAGTTAAAAGAGACAAAACCAGAAGCAACTTTTCATATTGGTGATATGTTAGATTAGATCGGGTGTACTTTACCCAATACGGTTGGACCAAACCGATGGCTCACCACCTAGTCAATTGAAAAATGGCACCAACAACATCAATTAGCTTAGCTTCAAAAACTGTCTTTAGCCAATGTGTGAATAACTACTTTGTGTAATCCATAAGAAACCCTACTTGAAATGTTCTGGTCAGTTTCTGGTCTTCCATTTATATATGCTTATTATATAGAAATAGGAGGAACAATGTTCCTTCCAGTATTACATTCTTTTATTTCTACCTAATTGCGTAAAACGACATGGCAGCAATATAAAACTAAACCTATGCCTTTATAAGGTTGCATTTTGTCTGCAATTTGTCAGTGCACCAAATAAGCAAAACACAAAGAATAGGTTAGTTGTGTACGTATTAACTAGAAAGAAAAGAAGAAGAAGAGGGTGAAGAAGAAGAAGGTGAGGATGATGAGGAGTACGGCACCAAGCATTAGACTTAGAACCCTAATTCTGGTGGCTATGGCTTGCCTTATTATGTTTCCGGCATCGGTCGACTGCTTGGTTCGACACTACAAGTTCAATGTGAGTACTTAGTTATTTATTCAACTATATTGAAAGTGTTCATGGGTACAGAAAGCTAGTTATTTTCAAAATTTAATGATTAATGCACGTAGTGAAGAAAAAAAAAAATATTTATCTCGCAACGTATGATCAAATTTGAAGTTTTTACAGTTTAGCAGCATTCTCCCTTTCGTATTAAAATTTTCCGGGTAAATAATGATTTAAAAAGTAAAATTTTCCATAATATATATTAACTAGTAAGAAGGATATAATACACAATAGCATTACTTGCTTAAGTGACTATATGTAAATAAGCTACTAATACAAGAAAGTTGTAGCTGTAAATGATGACAATTAACAGCTAATTACCTATTTACTATATATGTTCTTGGTTGGTAGTCTTTTCATCTTAGTCATTTTCTTACATAACTAAGCAAAAATTGCATATTCTTGCATACTTTTCCTTGTCTTTATTACTAACAGTTTTGTTTTCTTGACTTCATGTCATATCATGTTTATCAAGAAAAGCTTTTAATTGAAGTGACTGAACAACATCCTTAATTAGTATAACATAGTCATTAAAATTAGTACAATCCTACCCTTTCTCTAATTATGTACATTACTTAGAGTTTATTCGACAAAATTAGCTGTTTTAGTAGTTATTAACTGTTTTTTATGACGTTTAGCTGTTTGCCGTTTAAATAATTTTTCACAAAATGTTAAAAGTTATTTAAACATTTATTGTGGAAGAAAGCCTTGATCCAAATTATGTTGGGTAACTAGTGAATATACCTTTTCTGCAGGTGGTGATGAAGAAGGCCACTAGATTGTGTTCGTCTAAGCCAATTGTCACGGTGAATGGCAAGTTCCCTGGTCCCACCATAGTCGCAAGAGAAGATGACACTGTGCTTGTCAAGGTGGTCAACCATGTCAAGTACAATGTTAGCATCCATTGGTGAGTGTATAAAGGGTGGTCAACCATGTCAAGTACAATGTTAGCATCCATTGGTGATTGTATATAATTATATATATATATATTAAATAATTAATATATTAATATTGGGGGTAATAAGTAGTGGCAACTAACAGCTAAAAAATATTGACTATCTGATTTAATGAATTTTTGAGAATTTTTTTTTTTTTTTTTTTTTGTTTTTTTTTTTTTTTTTTTTTTGAAAGGGGAATTTTGAAAATATTGTTTGAACTAAAAATAGTTATAATACCTACTTCGTCCGATAATTTTTGTTCTTTTTTCTTTTTTCAGCCGTCTCAAATTATTGTCCCGTTTTTCTTTTTTAAAAATGAATAATATTTGAAATTTATTATTTTATCCTTATTTAATATATTTTTTTGTCAACAAATATAATGATCAAACTACTAGATTGTCATTAATTAAATCTTGATATAAATAAAATTAACATATCAACCTTCATTCTTCCAATAAAACTCCATTAAGTCAAATGTTTGATTAATTTCAAAAATAATATAATACGGATTACTTAAATTTCATGGATACTAACATAAGGGTATATTAGAAAAAATAGCAAAAATTATAGTTTAATCATATTAACTAAATTTTTTTAATTCATGTGCAAATCAAACTAGAAAACGGATTATGCGATGAATGGAATATTCAATTAGGTTAAGCTCAAAGCCAAACTTTGAAACAAACCCTAATTGGAATTTACATATTCTCTTAATTACAAAAGATTTAATTTTTGGTGGATTAATTGCGTGATAAGTATTGATATATGATTGTTACTTGTAATTTTAGGCATGGAATTAGACAATTGAGGACTGGTTGGGCAGATGGCCCAGCATACATAACCCAATGCCCTATCCAGCCAGGGCAAAATTATTTGTACAATTTCACCGTGACTGGCCAGAGAGGTACTCTTTTGTGGCATGCTCATATCCTCTGGCTGAGGGCCACCGTTCACGGTGCTATTGTTATATTGCCCAAGCGTGGTGTTCCTTATCCATTCCCTACACCCCATAAAGAAGAGGTCATTGTACTAGGTGAGCTTAATTAACTAATTACTCAAATTTAAAATTACAAGAAATATATATATATGATTGTTTATTTTGTAAATGATTTAAGTTTTTGGTGTTGTAGGTGAATGGTGGAAATCAGATGTTGAAGCTGTGGTCAATGAAGCTATGAAATCTGGAGGAGCACCAAATGTTTCAGATGCTCACACCATCAATGGCCATCCAGGACCTGTCCCTGCTTGCCCTTCACAAGGTAAAATATCTTCGGGCCAAAACTCAGGGTTGGAACTTGGAATCCTCTCCAATACTTCAAAAAGAAAAATAATTATTGAAATACTTAGTTTCAAGTAGGGGAAAGTAAAACCACCGTCCAAACCGAACTTATTCATTTCAATTCAGTTCAGTCAACTATTTAAGGGAGGTTCGGTTTGTCGGGTTAGTCAGTTTGAACTGAATTTGTTGTTTGGTTCAAGTCAATCTCATAGAAATCATCGGTTAGCTTAAAATCGAATTGAGATAACAAAAATCAACTGATTCGGTTCAAATGTCAAAATCAATTCGATTCCAATCAGAAAATTTTGGTTTTATATTTTCAGCCTTGGTTCGATTAGGTTTGAATCAATCCACCATATGTGCACCCCAAGTTTCAAGCATTTCTTTTCTGCAACTTAAATTCTTAAAAATAGAAAGTCAAATTGAAAATCTTAACTTCATTTATAATCGTTATGAGTTCAAACCGTACCAATTTAAAGCATTATGAAATGGACACCTCCATGGTTGAACTGTTTATTCACTAACCCCAATTTGAAATCTCTTCCATACTTGCATACATATATAAATCGCTTCCATACTTGCATAACATTATATATATTATATATATATATATATATATATTAATATAATACCTGCTCTATATATAATACCTGCTCTTAAATCTTAACCTTTAATTTTCTTGAATTGCAGGAGGTTTCAACCTACCAGTAGAATCAGGAAAAACCTACATGCTTCGAATCATCAACGCCGCACTTAATGAAGAGCTTTTTTTCAAGATCGCCTGCCATAAACTCACAGTAGTAGAAGTTGATGCCACTTATGTTAAACCCTTCAAAACAGACACAATAGTAATAGCCCCAGGCCAAACCACTAACGTTCTTTTAACCGCAGACCGTACTTCAGGCAAATACCTAGTCGCAGCCTCCCCTTTCATGGACGCCCCAATCGCAGTAGACAACGTAACTGCCAGCGCCACCTTACACTACTCCGGCGCTCTTTCTTCTGCCGCCACAATCCTCACCGTTCCGCCACCGCAAAATGCCACTCCTATAGCAGCAACTTTTGCTAATTCTTTACGTAGCCTAAACTCTAAAAAATACCCAGCTAATGTCCCATTAAAAATCGATCATTTCCTTTTCTTCACCATTGGGCTCGGTGTTAACCCGTGTGCAACTTGCGCTACTGGTAATAGAGTTGTGGCGGATATTAACAATGTAACTTTTGTTATGCCAACGATTTCTCTTCTTCAAGCCCATTTTTTTAACATCAGTGGAGTTTTTACCGATGATTTTCCCGGCAACCCGCCGGTGCAGTTTAACTATACGGGGACACAACCGAGTAATGTTCAGACGAATAATGGGACAAGACTTTATAGACTTGCTTATAATTCTACTGTGCAGATTGTTTTACAAGATACTGGAATGATTGCTCCTGAGAATCACCCGATTCATTTGCATGGATTTAATTTCTTTGAAGTTGGAAGAGGAGTTGGTAACTTTAATCCCAAGAAAGATCCAAAGAAGTTCAATCTTGTTGATCCTGTTGAAAGGAATACAGTTGGAGTTCCTTCTGGAGGATGGACTGCTATAAGATTCAGAGCTGATAATCCAGGTATAGATTGTTCCATTATATAAATAAAATGTTAGATTTTACTTTTTATATTAATTAATTTTTGTGATTTATAAAGAGCGGTTCAAGTGGTAAGACACGCTTGAATTCAATCTATAGAAAAAATACTTTTGAGGGTTAGTTACGAACCCTGAAACGAGATTAATCTTATATCTAAAAAGATACTGTGAAGATGGTTAGAAAATTAAAAATATATATATATTATTTTTTTTTTTTTTTTTTTTTTTTTTTTTTTTTTTTTTTTTGTTAAGGTGTGGGTTCTTTTTTTTTTTTTTTTTTTTTTGGTTATAGGTGTGTGGTTCATGCATTGTCATTTAGAAGTTCACACAACATGGGGACTTAAGATGGCATTCGTCGTAGACAATGGAAAAGGCCCTAATGAATGTCTTCTACCTCCTCCTCCTGATCTACCCAAGTGTTAAGAGAATTTCAAGAGGTGGATATACAGATTTTTCTTTCCACAGAAGAGAGCAAAGACTGTTAAAGGTTAATCTTCCATTATAATAATAAGAAGAAGAAGAGTTCTTTTGAGCAAAGCTGAAATTGAAGTCGCCAAGAGTAGAAATAAAACAAACCTGGATATGTTTTTCTTTTTTCTTTTTTCTTTTTTCTTTTTCACTATTCATTATTGTTTGCTGCATTAATTAATTTTCAAAGTCTAGTATATTTCAGGGATGACTGTAATTATTATACATGTAAAGCATAAACTGATAATCAAAATTTTCAAAATATTTACAAACTTTTATCCTTTACTTTATTATTTAATTGGTAGAGCAAACATTTTCGAGGTAAAAAGTTGAAGTATTCACAAAAGAGTTCAGAATTGATATATGTTCAAAAATAATTATTTGTTTCAAATTTAATATAACATTTATCTACCCATGAATTATAAAAATATAATTTTATGCAATTATTATTAAAATATAAAATATTCCATCAAATAAAATATGAAAATGTAAAAATATTTTATAGGAGTTAATTTTACGGCAGTAATTATTAATTAAATTAAAAAATGAACTAAAAAGTTTTCTACAACTACTTTAATCTAGATCTTAAACTAAATAAATAAAAATTACAATAATATCCATAATATAAATTTGAGTGAATTTAAATAATATAATAAATTGGTAAATGCATTGCGCTTAATTAGGGAAGTGCAACTTTCCTACCCATATCTAAGGAACTTACTTATTTTGTGTAAAGGAAGTTGGATAATTTACTTCCTAGGAAGTAGAATTAATAATGCAAATCAAATATAAGCATTTTATGCACTTTCCGGAAATTTTAACTTCACTAATCAACTTACCCCCAATGAAACATCACCTAGTCACGCTTTTACTTAAAATGTCCTTAATATTATTAAATAATTTAAATTTGTTAACTACATATAATTAATTAAATTGGATTAGAGACAATCTATAAGTTACTCCCTCTGTCTCAAAATATAAGTCCTTTAATGTTTTTGCACAAGGATTAAGGAAACAATTAATTCTCCTAGATTATAACAAACTCAAGGGTAATTTGACCAAATTATCCTCTATCTCAAAAATCAATAGTTGATTGTGAAGTATTTATTGTGTTTAGTGTAAACAAGGGCAACATTGGGAAAACATCTTTTATTACTTCTTGAAGTACACAACACGAGTTGTATTATAGAATAAACTAACAAACTTAAAACGACTTATATTTTGAGACAGATGGAGTATTAATTTATTTTCCTTTTAAAAATATTGAACCTAATTCACTAGAAAGTGCATAATTAATGTTTGCTTAAGTCACCATTCAACATATATAAATCTATTTATTCATCTATATACATATAAATATATAATGCAAAATGGAATATTAAGTGAAATGATTGAAAATATTTTTAAGTAAAATCTAAAAAAATAGTTAGCTCATGATACATTTTTTAATGCAAAATTTCTTTTTAAATATAAAATATGTAGATACTTTCATTAAATAGGAAATATAAAGAATTTAACTTTACTATATTCTTTTTTTTTTTTTTTCAGAATACTCTATAATCAATATTACTCCTTCTTATTAAAGGATATTAATGTCATTACATAAAATTCAAAAATATAACTAAAATGTGAAAAAGTAAAATATCGCTTTTCTAATTCAGTCCTCAACTAAAATGGACTCTTAACTTAAAATTGCACATCCTAAGTTGAGAATAACCAAACTTGAATCGACTCATTGAGTGTAATTTGGAATTTGTTGGGCTTATATGTGGGCTTTTGTATTGTGGGCTTTATAATTTCTTTACTCTTCAAATATTTACCTATGATATAAGGCTTTTCAGAAAATGTAAACTAATTGTTATTCAAAAAAAATTATTGCAGTAAATATCAATTTTTGAAATTTTTCTCTTTACATCCTCGCGCCGCAAAGCGTAAATGCAAGTTTTTGACCGTTTTCTGAGGATCTAATTTGTATTTTCATCGGCTTCTTAAGGATTTAATTTGTTTTTTCATCTTTACGTAGATTGAGGTTACTAACCACTTCAACCAACACCTTATTAGTTTTTTGAAATTTATTTTAAAAAAAAATATCAATTGACATTTTACTTTAGACTTATTTAATCAAGAAATAAAATACCGTGCAATAAATAAATTTACCCTTAATATATGCTATTGTGAATGAAATGGTCCTTCTATTTCTTTTTTTATATATATATAATTTTTCATTAAATGTATTTCATCTTTTCACAGGACATTTAATAGCAAAAAGCTCAAAAAGTAACAGAAAGAATACATAGTTGACAGAGTCAAATATTATAAATGAAATAGTACATTTCTAATAAAGTAAGGACGGAGGGATTAATTTTGATTATATAGAAATAAAATACTAACCTTTTTTTAAATATATATATATATATATATATTTAAATATAGTTATATATATATATATATATATATGTTGTGCACGCGGGAAGCACGTGAGTGGAAGCAGATGCAAACGCAGCCTAAGGTCAGAATGACAGCGGTGTGTGTGACCTTTTTTACCTTTAATAGGAAGGAGAATATATAGAAGGAATCTTTCCTTTTATGGAAAGAAATTGATGGTAGTGCTACCGCCAAGTCCTTTTAATATTCTATTATTTTTTATTATTTTTAATAACAAATAACATTATTGGATTTGGAACATTATAAATTTGTTTATGTACCTATAGACTATAGACACAGTCCCAATTGATTCCAAACAACACTTGCCCTAATCGTTGCCCCTACCTCTCTGTAAAGGGTCAGTTGCTAGGTACCTTTCAACCCTACATCCATTATTTAATTTTATTATATTTATTATTATTATTATTATTATTATTATACACAACAAATTATTAAAGAAAAACTTTAAAAATATCGGTTAAAATGATAATCATTTTATTCTATTGATTAATGAATTTGTTAGAAGAAAAAAAAAGTAATAATAATTAATGAATTTGTTATTTATTCTATTGATTAAACCTTATAATTGAAAAATTAATAAATTAGTAAAAGAAAATAATAATAAACCTCAAAATAAAATTAAACAATTAAAGATTAAATCAAACTTTGACTTTAAAGAGACTTTAATCTTCAAAATTTATTTTCCAATATGTGATCATTAAAACTTAATTATTAGAATATAACGAATATAATTATTTAAACGGTTGAAATAAATCAACAGGCATCAATGAACTCATTATATATATATATAATATAATATATATATATATATATATAATATATATATATATATATATATTATTAAATATATATTATATATAAAAGTATAAAAGTCCAAAAATTGTAAACAAATTGTTAATATTTTCTTATAAAATGCAATTTATTTCCGTACACTTGATTTTGTATAAAAACATATTTCATCATCCAATATTCCCTTCGGTCCACTTTAAAAGCAACATTTAGTCTTTCACAAGAATTAATAAATTATTGAAATACATTAATTTTCTAAAAATATATGTTAAAATGTCTAAACTGTCATTCTTAAAATTAAAAGCTCCTCATTTAAGTTTGCTACAAACTACCTAATAAATATGGGTAAAATAATTAATATATTTTCAAAATTCTAAATAAGCACTTAAAATAAAATAAAGTAAAATGCTCATTTGTAACTATTAAAGTAGAACAGAGAGAATATAAATTAATTAAATGTCTATATACTTTTTTAAAAATAGTACAAAAATTACAATTCAAATTGCAAAATGCCAAATTAGCATTACACTAAATAAATGCAATCTATTTTTTATTTAATTATATTTCAAATTTTGAAAATTAAAAATTCAAAATGTGATAGGAGAATATATATATATATATACTATTCCATAAATTATTCTAGGAAACAAATATTTCTATGACAAACAAATTTTTTGGGCAGCAATTTTTGTCTTAATTAGCAGAAAATTTTAAATAATAATAATAATAATTGTAATGAGACAATATTGTGCAAAACAACTATAAAGCATTAGTTTATGAAATTATTTAATGGTATCTTTTGATTGAAGACGCACGTCCTACAATTTTATTTGAAAGGGGAAGCCTAGTTGGTATTATTTTATTTTTATTTTTATCTTTATTGCTAAACAAATAATAATTTTAAATAAATAAATATATATATATATATAAAATAATAATATAATATATATATATAATATAATTTGTCTTCCCTTATGTTATATATATATATATATATATATTTCTTCTTCCTTATGTTCCCCTTATTGTGTATGCCGTCCCCCAAACAATGTGAATATATGGAGAATATATGACAAAAGCAACAATTTTCAATATAGATTTTGCAACTTTTTTTGATTTAAGGAACTTTCCCTATTAAGCTATTTCCATCTATATCGATGACTGCAATTTCATCCCAATCGTGTAGATTCCCAACCAACACACGTGAAATATGTCTTTCTCTAATCTAATTATATTTTTTATTTTAAAATAATTTTTTAATTCATTCGAGATTAAATGGATTAAAGTAAAATTGTAAATTGCGTATCGTAAATATTTTATTAGTTTCACATTATACAAGAATGAATTTATCGACCATTAAATTTCAAAATTGTATTAAGCTATGTGCATTTACGTTTAATTTGGTTCAATATAATTTTTAAATAATAATGACTAATAAACTCATTCTTATGTTATGTCAGTTAAAACTCTAGGACATAACCCTTTTATTTTTGTTATTATGAAAATTTGTGAAATAGAAAAAGTTCAACATATGACTTTTTTCTTTTTAAAAAATTTGTTTTCTTGCGATATTCGCGTACCCTTCAAGTATATGACTAATTTCATTTTAAAGTTTGAATTTCTATTTTTATATAAATGTTTTTCTACATATCGAACTATTGATCTTGCAGGAATTGTCTATTAAATTTAAGCGTGTCTTATAGTCTTACCATTTAAGTCATTCTTTATATGATTCAGACTTTCCATTTTTACCTCAAAAAGAATAAAGAGATTAATTAGACTATACCTAATTAACACAAATGACCCATTATATGCTAAATCATAACTCATTAGACATCTCATTATTAAATTCACAAGAATCATATCCTCTAACCGAAAAATCAAGAGCCAACCTATCATTAGTCTAAGTTAGTTGCTATAAGCAAACAAGTATTGTAATGTGCTTCCCTGCGATGATTTACTTCACAGGCGAGGTTTTTGGTTTAAGTCCAAAATGGTCCAACGCATCAAAGA